AAAAAAAAAAAAAAAAAAAAAAATCAATTTCCCTTCCATCTTCACCCCACTTACCTCGTCATAAAGATGTACCTTCCTAAACTTATACGGGTGTTTTCCTTCCTTCTTTCTTGCAACTACTAGCTACTCTTCCACCACTGTTCTCTGTCACTGGCTCAGGCTCTGCGCCCTGTAACAGACTCAATCAACAGCCTCCCTCTCCTCTCTTTCATTTATTTATATTTTGCCATTATGAGATCTATTCTTATTAGTACTACATGGATGTTTTCTCTACCTCTTCTAAACAATCAGTAAACTAGGTAAACGAGATGGCTGAATAAAATTACATTTTTATGTAGTATTTTTCTTAATTTTATAAAGTACCATAAATAACTGACAACTATTTTATAACACTTACCATGGAGCATAGAATTCTACAAGCCACAAACTATCACTCTGAATAACTTCTCGGTTGAAGTTTGACGGAGTTAATTCGATTACATCATCACTAGACGAATACAGACCATTAACTGCTATGAAGAGGGTACAGCTCATCAGACCTGGAGTAACAACAAAAAGCACACCATCAACATCAGGGTTCATGCTGACAGGAAACCTGGGCCACCAAAGTCCTTTTCAACTGACCAAGGCCCTTCACAGAGGACAGCCTGGGTCAGCTCTCTCCTAACCCCCTTCTCCCCAACTCCCACCCCTAGCCTGGCTGCTGTTGTAGCCCCTAGAATTTGAGTCCCCCCTGGTGCAGTGCTGAACAAGGGAACAGACAGCCCACACCCTCTTCTCTTGAGCTGCCTTGGGACCAGATTTAAATACTCTTCTTAGTGCTTTTCCTACACTAACACCTTCATTCTGTACAACCACACTCTATGAGGCAGTTCTATTATCACCGTTTTATGGGCAAGGGCACTGGAAAATGGGGAAGTTACATCTAGCTCTGTGACCCTGCATAATCCACATGGTGTTTCTTGTGTTATTCAGTTGCAGCATTAGCACGCTATCTTTATTAAAGCTTATTGATGGGAAAAATAATTATTTGCCTCCCCTACTAGACTGTGCCTCTCTTAGGGGCAATGATTGTTTTTAAAATATTTTTCTTTCTACTAACACTATCCATGGCACATCATCAGGCACTCACAGTGTTGCAGGATGAGCTCTGAAAGAATGTTCATGTGAACAATGTTATAAAGGAAGGATAAGAGAGTCTGTATTATTAATAGCATAGTTTAGCCACACTGTGGACCAAGTGTATTTCTGTTGCTACTCTGGGAACTTACATGCAGATTATAACAATTACATAGAAAAACAAGTTCTGAATATTTAAAAAACCCAAGTTTTCTGAATTGGTAATATCAGAATTTTACCTCCTTTAAATTTGTCTGTGTATGTATACACAGACACACAACATAAATTATATATGTTATATACGAAATTTCATAAAATATATAATTTGTTTTCTAACTGCGTTGTCTAATATCTCCAGAATAATGCTAAATAACAGAATGTTTTTTACTTTAATAGGTATATTTTCCCATTTGCTAGCTTTTGGGTTGAAACAGATAAACTTAATGATATTAGAGGGATTTGTATTACTTTCTTTTCAGCATCTATGAAGATGACCATATAATTTCCTTCTTTTAATCTCTTGATGCAACGAATTATAAGAGATTCACCTGTCTTCTAAGAAAGCATGTGTGTATATGCCATCTTAGTCACAGTTTCAAACAAGCTTACTTTGTAAACAGAATTTGGAAGATTTCACATGGAACTTTGTGAACAACCCAATGGTAAACTTCTGGAATACGTGTATACTGGTGTTAATTGTTCTACTGCTAAATCCTCCACCTTATACTTACAAGGCACTTTGAATTTTTAAATCACTTTCAAATGCATTGGATCCACTTGACTTTTCACAGCACCACTAATGAGAACGTGGGAATCATTCCTATTTTGTAAATAAGGAAACAAGGGCAGATAGAGAGCAAGTGGCCCGTCTGTGGTCACACATATAACTGGGAGAGCAACCTCCTGACTTGACTTCCAAGCCCTACCCATTAAACCATGTTGTCTTTTTAGTGTTCAAGATAAAAAATGTTCAGTATGCCATGGGCATGAATAACAATGACACTGTTCGAGAACACTGCATTTGAATGATAGACATGACTAGTATTGCAGGAACTTAACTGTGGACCTTACTAAGGGTGATGTGAAGCCACTAAAGGGTTATCATGCAGGGGGTATGATCAGATTTGCTTTCTATAAAGAGTATTCTGGCTGCAATGTGGACAGTGGATGGAGAATTATCAGGAGAGTGGTTTCACATAAACCAGGGGAAAGACAGAATGAGCAACAGTAACAAAGGCTACTGGGAGGTGAAGTAGGAACGACTGCAAACTGTCCACTGGATATAATGAGGTCACTGGGGTCCCGGGCAGTTGAGGTACAGCAGCGAAAGTAAGCAGCAGTCAGGCTGCACAAGGCTGGAAACAGCAGGAGGGGACAAGCTGTGAAAATCACACAGTAACTCTTTAAACAAGTTTCTTAGAAAGAGCAGGAGACTGTAAGAAAATGGGGGATAGAAGAAAGCTTTCCTTTTAAAGGTGGGAGTGAGCTGAGCACAAAGTGAAGAAATATGTGGAGGGAGAGGCTAAAGTACAGGGAATAATGTAACAAAATGCCTGAATTAGGAGGCTGGGAGGGAACCCAGAGTCAGTGAGGGGGGTAGCTTGCAACCGAATGACCTCGTCTTCCATTTCAAGAGGTGGGAAAGGGTGTGGATGGAGGTCAAGCCAAACAAAGTAAGGCTCCCTTGATAACTGCTGTGCAACATGGCAGCCGCTGGCCACACATGGCTACCCCAAACTGAGGTGTGCTGTAGGTGTAAAAAGCACAGCAAATCGCAAAGACCTGGTAGAGGGGAAAAAAGTAAATTATCTCATTAATCTTTCTGATACTGATTTCCTCTTGAGATATTTTAGATATACTGGATAAATAAATATATATTAAAATTAATCTCACCTACTTCTTTCTGTCTTTTTAAATGTGGCTACTAGAAAATTTAAAATTACATACAAATTTGGCATTATATTTCTATTGGATGGTGCTGCAGGACAGATTACAGAGTTTGACATATTTAATAAAGCAAGTAAATCAAGAACCTAAGCAGAGACAGTCCTAATTCTGAGTAAGCGTGAGAGTAAGACTGGTCTGAGAAAATCCTCTATGGAGATCTACTACGTTTAAAGACATTTATCTTCTTAAAAAAAAAAATCCGTGTGAATTATTAGTTTTTCAATATACTGAGCTCCTTGTGAAAGTTTCAAAAATGAAAAAAGCCAAAAAAGAAAACCTATCAACAGTCCCACCAGAATGAACTATTCGTATTTTGGAGGGGACTCAGCTAACATATCTCTACACTATACAGAGGCCTAAAAATTTATATAAATGTGACCTTACTACATACATTCCCTTCTGTAACCTTTTGTTCACTCAAAATAAGTTACATTTTCTACATAAGTGATTATGGATTACCCATTACCCCCATGTAACCATTTTTAATGGCTGTATCATGTTCCTAATCCACTACTGACATAGTTTGATGGTCTCCATTTTTTTCTACTAACAGGGCCAATGCTACGAATTCTAATACTTCTTCCCTCCTCAAATAAATATGATTATTTCTTTAAGAGAAAATCGTACAAGGGGAATGGCGTATGGCTAACATTTTGATATATGTTATCTGTCCAAGTACCCTCCAGAAACTGCCATCTTAACTAGGAACAACACTTATACGGCACTGCGTACCATTAGCTCATTTACTCTATGTGGTGTGTATCATCATGCCCATTTTTAGCACAGGACATGGAGACCAGAAAAGGTAACTTGCCTCAGGCCACATAATTAGGAAGAGTACCTTGCTGTGCAGCCCCGAATTTTAACCAAAGGACTGCAGCCTGCAGAAGCATAACCCCCGGAGGGGCGCATTCTATGGCCTGTGGCAGGAGAATTACCTCCCCCCCCCACGCCCATCAGGGGCAGCAACAGAGAATGCACTCGCCTCCTCACGCTGTGCCAAGCAGGCGGGAGCCATCAAAGGATGAACCATGACTGTTTCACCTCAGGAATGTGCCTCCTTTCTGTACAAAGATGGGCATGCCTAATGACACTCGGTAGAACATGAACTTGAGCTTTTCTTCCCCCCTAGTAAGGGGGCTGGACTTTTCTTGTCTATAAAGTGGCCTGGTTCTCACCGGAGCATTCCCTCCTCATAAATGGCTGTCAGTGGAAATGTCTTGTAAAGGTTCAAGACCTAAGTTCCTTAAAAGGCAGTAAGACCTAGTAGGGTTACAAGGAAATCAAACGTGCTACTCAGAAAAGCATTAGAAGAGGTACAAATTCCAACAGCTGAAAAGTAGTCAGCCACTACCCCTACAAAACCCCTCAGCCCACTTAAGATGATAAAGTAGGTCAAGGCTGACCAATACTGTTCTGTTTCTAAAATTCCCATGGCCATTCCACTCGCTGATAACGAGCACCAACGGGAAACCGGAACATCCAAGGGTCTAGAATCTATGTGAGCAGATGGTTTTGCCATCTGTGGCCTCCCATGATTCCTCCAGGGTAGTAAAGGATGTTATAAATCCACGTCACTACCATCTCTGTCCCACACCTGCTAGCAAGAGTACATGGTCCCAAAGCACTCATCCAGAAACCGAGAGGGCGCCCCAAAAGGCTGACTACATTTATTATAATAATGAATGAATTGTAAGAATCCTACACGCTTTCACAGCCCTGTCTGAATTCACTCGCAGGCAACTGAACAGAAACTAAGTTCTTTCCCCCTCATCTATTCTCTCTATGGTAATACGGCAAATATTTCTATCTTGTTTACTCTCTTTAGACATGTATAAATTCCTTAATCCTGAGAACAACCCTATGTATGGACTACTAGCCCAGAGTGGTTAAGTAACTAGCTCCCAGTCACACAGCTAGAAGATGCGGGGGGGACGGAGGGGTGGGACTCAAACCCTGCTATCTGGATCCACAGTGTTCAGGTACCCACTGTCAGAGCACCTTGGCTGGGACCAAGGGGAGCCCAGGCAGGAACGGGATACTCAACCTCACTACTGTAGTCTCTAAAACTGACATTTACGTAAGTCCACAAAGTCTGAGTTCAATTTGGTTGTTAGAAGTGCAATCACATTTAAAGTGCTCTTGCATCGTAAGACCCGCTTTAGGAAGGTACCGTTGCCTTTTAAGGAAACTCTCCAGATTTATTTCAGGACCGGGTTTTGACAGTTCAGGTTTTTTAGAAGTGGGAATTCCATAATACAGGTGGTGAGGGCAACTTTCAGTGTGAGAAGCCCGTGACTCTCCCGCACACACTCGAGGCCCAGAAGAAGGTCCCCCTGCTACGTGGCCCCCCAGTACCCAACCTCGGCCAGGGATCAGCCATAGCCAGTCTCTGGGCTCAAAGGCAGCTCCCGGCCTTCGCTCACACCCGGCCCGCCCGACGCCGCCCCTTCACCGGAGCCCGGCACCGGCCACTCGGCCCCAAGCTCGGAGCTGTCCCAGGCGCCCTGGGTTCGAGTCCGGCCTCGGGGCTCCCGCCTCCGGCCGCGCTCGCGCACACGCTCCTCCCGGGTGGGAGGAAGTCGCCCCCGCCAAAGGCGCCCTCACCTCCCCACGCGTCCCGCACTTCTGCCCGAGGGCCCGCGCAGGGGGCTCCGGCCAAGAGCTGCCCCAGTCCCCGGAGCTCGCCAACCGCCCCAGGGGCTTCCCCTACTGCGTCCTCCGCGTGGGCCGGGCCAGCGGCCCTCCCCGCCAGCGTGGGCCCGGCCAAGGCCACGCACCCGCTTGCTCCCCAGTCCGCGGCCCGCCATGGGGGTTCCCGGTCTCCCAGGCTGCCCCTCCACCCCCCCGGACGAAAAGGCCTGCGCCTACCAAGCACCAGGCGAGCCATGCCGAGGGCCGGGGCCACCGAGTAGTCCAGCCACCGCGTACTCCAGCCACCGCGTACTCCAGCCACCGCCTCCCCTCCGCCGTACCGCGCCCCCGCCGCCCCACGTCCAGTTCTCCGCCTGCGAGGCAAACGCGGGGCGGGGCGGCTGGGGCGGGCCGGAAGACGTCCCCAAGCCGTGGCCACGGCTTATTGGTCCCGACAGACTTCTCTCATTTGAATAGCCAATGGGAGGCAGCCGGGTAGAGGTTACCGGTTTGGGTTTTGAGGGGGCGGGGCGAGCGACGGAAGGAGGGACTAGCTGGGGGCGGGGCAAGCCAGCCCCTCCGTCCCGCGTGTCCCTCCCGTACCTGCGGTGGCTTCCGTCCTTTTCTCTCCAGAAGTACAGTACTTGGATTACCTCTCGGATCCTTAGGATTCTCTCTTTTCCCACTTGTTTCTAACGAGTCCGTTTCCAACCCTCGTTCCCCCCCACCCCCGACCCTTATCCTCTTTGTCTCTAGGGAGGATAAGTTTCTTTGGGCCCTCAGTGCATCTACGACCTTATCAAATGACATATTAGTTTTTCCTGTGCCCGAACGAGTATTCAGTCATAAAACACTTGCTAAACACATACTGTATATAACATAATTCAACAAGTATTTATTTTGTTGAATTACTTTAAAAGTTCCCACGACCAGGGCACAAGACTGCAAAGCTTTTCACAGACAGGCACTCAGTTCTCTGTAGAAACCCTGTGGGGCTTAAGCTTCAGAGCTCCTAACTTACAGGGTTTACTTCCTCACCCGAGAGGGGCCCTAGCAATAGAGTTCACACGGTCATGTGTTTTGCAAAATGTGCAAAAGTGAAATATTTTAAGCACAGCAGGCTAAGACTTCAATATCTTTCCACTGTGATTTCCTCTCTGACATTTAGAGCGGACTCGAGCATTTTCTTTTTGTATTACTAATGGTTTATTTCTCTGTAGTGCTTAATGCATAACACAGCTCTGATCCTGGCCAAAGCATTTATGGGATCTGGGAGTAGTGGAGACTGGTAGGGCTTCCTGGAGGAAGCGGCACTAGAGCTGAGTCTGGATGGAGAAGAAAGTCATTCAAGGCACAGAGAGCAAAGGGAGTGAAGAGGGCACAGTGGAGTGAACTGGCGCCATGAAAAGGAAGCTGGCAACAAAAGCCAGATGAAGGGGTGGTGCTGGGGGCTGTGTGACATGGTGAGACATTAAGATCATATACAGACTGAGCGATGTAGATGCCTGAGTTTTGTTTTTTTAATAAATTATTTATTTATTTATTTTTGGCTGCATCGGCTCTTCATCGCTGCGCGCGGACTTTCTCTAGCAGTGCGCGGGCTACTCATTGCAGTGGCTTCTCTTGTTGCGGAGCACGGGCTCTAGGTGCGCAGGCTTCAGTAGTTGTGGCACACGGGCTCAGTAGTTGTGGCTCGCAAGCTCTAGAGCACAGGCATAGTAACTGTGGTGCACGGACTTAGTTGCTCCGCGGCATGTGGGATCTTCCGGGACCAGGGCTCGAAGCCATGTCCCCTGCATTGGCAGGCAGATTCTTAACCACTGTGCCACCAGGGAAGCCCAATTCCTGATTTTTGATTCTGTAAGATGTCTTTGGGTTTATTGATGCTACTGTAAAATCTAGGCTTTGGTGTGTTGGGGTAAATTTTAGGGAAAACCTTAAAATCTCAGTGGCTTTTACCATAATGGTTTGTTTCTTGCTTTCATTAGGGAGCAGATTTCCATCTGGGTCCTCCCATCTTACAAAGAAACTGTCTTCTAAAAATGCACTTTCAACATGGAAAATATTGCTCCCAAGGGGGCACAATTGGTTCTTGGGGCAAAAGGATGAGAAAATCTTAGATATTACAAGGGCCACAGTACATAAACAGATAAACAGTATATCTATGTGTTTCAGATTTCATAGGAGAGAAGAAATTAGGAGAAGCGACATCTAAAAGTCTCCTTAGGGGGGTGATAATGCAAAACAAAGTGGAGAAACACTGTTCTAGAACAGGGCTGCCCAACAGAAATATAATGTGAGCCACGACCACACACAGAATTTTTAAAATTTCTAGTAACCACACTGAAAAAGTAAAAAAAGAGAGATTAATTTTAATAATATAATTTAACGCCAAATATCCCAAACGTTATCATTTCAACATGTAATCATACAAAAATGATTAATGAGCTATTTACATTCTTTTTTTCATACTAAGTCTTTGAAAGCCAGTGTATATTTTATGCTTACACCACATCTAATGTTAGATGGGCCATATTTCAAGTGATTGACAGCCACATGCAACTATTGGACAGCACAGTTCCAGAACCTCCTTGGAGTCCTTGATTGGCTCTTCTGCATCCAACTGACCAAAGAGCAAAGAGAGAACGAGGAGGATTGCACAGGTACTTTTGGCCAGGCCTGGTAGCATCCTACCACTCACATCCCATTGGCTGGAAGCCAGCCATGTGACCCCAATGTAACTACAAAGGAGTCTGGGAAATAGTCTTCTGTGTCCAAGAAGAGAAGGTGGATTGGTTAGGATCAAGACAGTCTCCGTGGTAGTCTACCCTCTGACCTCCGTGTATCCACTTTACTCTTCCTTCACACGTGAAACATGCTTAGTCCCTCCCCAAGTGGGGGGAGCGTCCATCACTGCACCCAGCTCAGAGTCCTGGGTGTCTGGGTGAGGTGTTGATCCCCCGTGTCAGGATGTGAGTCCTCATGGTGTAGAGCTCATGGACTAAAAAGAAGAGGATCCTCCCCAACCCCAAACTCCCATTGAATGTTGTTGGGACAGGACAGGATAATCATAATAAATGCTCCCTTTCAGAAAGGAGAATAGGAGACACACAGAAGTCCCTGGTTCGGGGCAATTCTGAAATCCTAATGGGTGGAAAGTGTAAGGCTCCCACACTGGAGAAAGGTGGTTCCTCGATTAGGTTCCAGTTCTGCTCTCTGGGAAGAACTCTGGCACCCTCCGTCCGCAGAGGCTTCCCCTGGTGATTAGTCTTCCACTCACATCTGAAGGGGGAGGTAGGAAGCCTGATCTCCTAGGGGGCTGCCCAGCCTTCAAAGCCTGCCTCTTGCCTGTGGAAGATTCAGAGTCCAAGGACTCTTTTGCTTGTGTTTGTGCCTTTTGTTTTGCTTTAAGTAAACTTTTAATTAAAATATAACTTTGTTATGGACTGAATTGTGTCCTCCTCAAATCCATAATGTCAAAGCCTTAATCTCCAAATGACTAAATTTGGAGATAGGGTCTTTAGAGAGGTAATTCAGGTTAAGTGAGGTCATAGAGGCAGGGCTCTAAGCCGATAGGACTGGCGTTCTCATAAGAAGAGGGAGAGATACCAGAGATGCATACAAGGCCAAGTGAGGACACAGTGAGAAGGCGGCCGTCTACAAGCCAAGGAGGGAGGCCTCAGGAGAAAGCAACCCTGCCAGCACCTTGATCTTGGACTTCCAGTGTCCAGAACTGTGAGACAATAAACATTTGTTGTTTAAGCCTCCCAGTCTGTGTTACTCTGAGAAGGCTAAATCAAACATATGCTAAAAAAGAGCACAAATCTTTAAGGGTAAGAGTTCCTTGACGTTTTTGTAAAGCAAACATCCCATGTAATCAGCACCCCAGAAAAACTGCTAACCCCCCCTTCAAAAGGTAACTAATACCATGAATTATCATCATAGATTAGTTTTGTCTGTTTTGGCACTTCGTTTTTGTTTTTTTTTTGCGGTACGCAGGCCTCTCACTGTTGTGGCCTCTCCCTTTGCGGAACACAGGCTCTGGACCCGCAGGCTCAGCGGCCATGGCTCATGGGCCCAGCCGCTCCGTGGCATGTGGGATCTTCCCGGACCGGGGCATGAACCCGTGTCCCCTGCATCAGCAGGCGGACTCTCAACCACTGCGCCACCAGGGAAGCCCTGTTTTGGCACTTTATACAAGTGTGATCAATCAGTATGTACTATTTTGTGTCTGGCTTCTTTCATCTAGCACTATGTTGGTAAGTTTCATCCATGGTATGGCTGGTTGTACCCCGTTGTTTTTTGTTTTTTTGGCCGTGCCTTGCGGCTTGCAAGATCTCAGTTTCCCAACCAGGGATTGAACCCGGGCCATAGCAGTGAAAGTGCCAAGTTCTAACCACTGGACCGCCAGGGAATTCCCTGGTTGTACCCCATTGTATAAACAGCCCAGAGTGTACGTGTTCTTCTCCTGATGGACGCTTGGGTCGTTTCCACATCACATCGTCAGGTTGACACAGTGAGGTATTTAAAAGACCAGACACACGTTTCCCTGTCAATGCCCCAAGGTATTTTCAAGGTGTTGCTGAGTGTATGTTTGTATTACAGTTTAAATCTCAGCTCCAACAATATATCTCACAACCACAAACTGTTTAGTGAGCCTGGGGTCACTTAATAAGTACTACGTAGGACCAAAGAGAATTGTGGTAAATTAAGACAAAAAGAGTCAGCTAGTCTATGACGTGAGGTATGTTGCTGCTTCCCTCAGCTATGCACTGAAGGCCAAGTGTGGGAATATAGAGAACACTGGTTCAGCCATCAAAAGATAGGTTTATCAGTACACTTTGCTATCATCTAGAACATTCTGGCTCTTCTGTTTTAATTAATTAATTAATTTTTGGCTGTGTTGGGTCTCTGTTGCTGCATGCGGGCTTTCTCTAGTTGCGGCGAGCGGGGGCTACTCTTCGTTGTGGTGTGTGGGCTTCTCTCTGCAGTGGCTTCTCTTGTTGTGGATCACGGGCTTTAGGTGCGCGGGCGTCAGTAGTTGTGGCTCGGGGGCTCTAGAGCGCAGGCTCAGCAGTTGTGGCGCACGGGCTTAGTTGCTCTGAGGCATGTGGGATCTTCCCGGACCAGGGCTCAAACCCATGTCCCCTTCTTTGGCAGGTGGATTCTCTACCACCGCACCACCAGGGAAGTCGCTCTGGCTCTTCTTAGGGCTTTGAATCTAAAAGCTAAAGTACAAAGAAGGCTTTGGCTACAGGTGTAAACAAAGGAAAATTCACTGTT